CCAGCTCCCTCCCCTCCCCTGCGCGCCTCTGTTCCCTCAGACTCTTCCTCTCTCCCCTCTCCCCTCCTCCTTTCCCTCCGGCCTTTCTCCCCCACTTTCCTCCTGTTCTCTCCTGTGTCTTCTTTTGTATTTTCTCCCTCGCCGCCGAGGTTGCTTCTCCCCTCCTCCGGGCCGCGGGGAGGAGGTAAGCACGCTGCGCCCGGGGTCTGCGCGGCGCAGAGGGAGGCGTTTCTCCTACTTCTCCCGGGTAATTTGGAGAGAGTGTATGTGCGCGCGCGCGCGCGCGTTAATGTAAAGCGAAAAGGGGTAGGATCCAGCGCCAAGCAGAGAGGGTCAGGGTCTTTGACATTCCTCACCAGCTGCACAAACCTCCCGGAACAAGTGTGAGCGTGGGTGAGAGTGGGCGCGCGCACACTGGCTGGCTGCGCTGGGCACGTTTGGTGGCCCGGGGCCCCAGGGCCCGGGGGCCGGCCAGGCAGTCCGGGATCACCGTGACGTCACGTTGAGCCTCTGGCCACCTTGGACCGGGACACCTCCAGAGCAGCACAGCCCCGCGCGCGCCGCACCTCACCTTGCCTCGCCACCGCGCGCCTTTGGGAACTCGCATCCTCTCCCGTCCCCCTGCTCATCCATGGGCCCGTCTGTCTTCCGGACCACGCGAACCGGTGGAGCGCCTTCTGGAGCGCAGGGCTTGGCAGCCGACCTGCCCTTGGCTCTGCCTCCAGTAACGCCAAGTGGGCGGAGGACCCGGCGCTGGGCACCCGCGGCTGTGTAAGGAACCGAGGCAGCACACTGCTGGAGGCGGGAACAAGCAAAAGAAGAGGCAGGCGGGCCAAGGACAGCCACCATGTCCTTCCCGCCCTTTGGACACCCCTATGGCAGCGCTTCCCAGGTAAGAGGTGCCTCCTCGGGGGATGGGGCCGACTGGATGGAAGGGGTGCCCAAGCACTCGCCGGCCCCTGAGCTCCCTCCTCTCGCACCAGTCTCGGGGGAAACCAGAGGGAGCAGGGGCCCGGGTCATGTACCACAGCCCACTGTGACATCCTCAGTCCCTGGCTGGGAACGTTCCACACCCCCAACACAGCCTGGAAAATCCAGTGACCCGAAACTTGGACACTCCGACCATGCGCTCAGCGAGGTGGGTGGGATCTCGGAGATCTTCCAGACAGGCCTCCTTACTGTACAGATATCGGAGGTGGCCAGGAGAGTCTCAGAATAAAAGGCTTCCAGCCCAGAACGTTGTCCATCTCACAATTTTCCTGCTGCTGCTGGCTATTGACCTCTGTCCCTGTCTTCCCCCCTTCCTTGGGTGGGCTTCTGGCTCCTTCAGTTTTCCAGACCAGCGTGGATGACAAGGTTTCCTGGAGAAATTGTGGGGACAGTCACCACTGTTCTCCAGTTTCTCTCCAGAGCGTGGGGTGTATTTTCCTAGGGTCTAGTTCCAGCCGGACTCTGACCCGCTCTGAGATCTTGGACAAGTCCGCACTTTCTCTGGCCCTCCCTCTTGCCCTTTCTATAGAATGGGAGCCGGTGTGAGAGGTGATGAAGGGTCTCTAAGGCCAACTTCTAGCTATGCCTTTGCAGGATCCTGTGATGGGAAAAGGGGCGGGGGTCTGCGAGAGAAGCAGCCCGAGTGGAGTGAGTCTTCTATAATTTTGGTTTCAAAATGTTCCCAATGACCAGACCGTGGGAATCTGAAGCCTTAGCAATGGATTAGGAGTGTCTATCTATAAGGGCAGTCTGGGTGAATTGCATCTTCGGATAATTCCTGTTTCAGTGCTCAGCAGAGTACTGAGCACACGGTGGCGTGAATGAAGGAGCGGTCTGGCAGTTCCAGTCTCTGACCTCGGGTGCCTTCTCTCTCGCCCCCGTAGTTTCTGGTGTCTGCAAGTTCCAGCGCCACTTGCTGCGAATCCGCCCCGCGCTCAATCCCAGATGTGGCCTCAGGCTCCACCCCAGCGGCGGCTCTCTGCTTAGCACCCTATGACAGCCGGCTGCTGGGCAGTGCCCGGCCCGAGCTGGGCACAGCGTTGGGCATCTATGGAGCCCCCTACGCGGCTGCTGCAGCTGCGCAGAGCTACCCGGGGTACCTGCCCTACAGCCCAGAGCCGCCCGCGCTGTACGGGGCACTGGTGAGTACGCGGGATGAGGCCTGGGTCCCCGCGCCAGAACCCACTTGCCCTGGGGGCAGGAGTGGCAGCTGCTGGTGAATCCATTGTGACATCTCTAGGGAAAATTGAGGAAAGACACACAACTTCGAGGACAGGAAGCGGTTAAGATTGTGAATAAAGGGAAAAGCATGTCTTTGCACCATTTTACTGTTTGCAGAAGTTCACACTGTTTAGAAAACATTTGCATTTCTATGAATTATGCGAGGAAGGCAAGTCATCACTTTTCTCAGTTTACAGATGAGGAAACTGAGGTGCAGAGGTCAACACCTAACCCAAAGTCACAGAGATACCAAAGGTCAGGGAATCGCTCTGCAAGAAGTTGAGGCTGGGAAGTTCCCCAGCTGGTGGGGAGCAGGATACACAAGCAGCAAAAGTAATAACAGCTCATATTTAACTACCGCTTGTTCTGCACCAGGAATTCTGCCCAGAGCTCTTCTTCAATGACCTGTAGGGACTATTGTTACGCCCATTTTACCAAGGGGAAACTGAGGCACGGAGTGGTTAACACCTGTTCCCAAGATCACACAGTCAAGGCGAGTCGTGGTACTGGGAATAAAACCAGATTTGACTCCAGAGTTTACACCCTTAGCAACTACCCCTCCTCACCTCTTCCCCAAATGTAGGGAGAACTGAATCCTTTCTTCCTGCCCCACCAGAATCCTCAGTATGAATTTAAGGAGACTGCAGGGAACTTCACACCCGGCCTGTCACAACCAGGAGCCTATTATCCCTACGAGCCAACTCTGGGGCAATACCCATATGACCGGTAAGGCATGGGGCACACGTGGCTGGCACCCAAAGTCCTTCCCCCTCCACTGCGGCTGCCCAGGTAGGGCTGATCTGGGCAGAGCTCGGGAAGGGGGATGAGCGGGGAGGGAGTGGAGCAGAACCTCACTTCCAGGCTGCACACCGTCTCCTGCCTGCTGCCCCAGGTTGCCAGCCTCCGATCTGTGAGCCAGGTTCTCCCCACAGGTACGGAGCCATGGAGTTGAGTGGCACTGGGCGCCGGAAGAACGCCACCCGGGAAACCACGAGCACGCTCAAGGCCTGGCTCAACGAGCACCGCAAGAACCCCTACCCCACCAAGGGCGAGAAGATCATGCTGGCCATCATCACCAAGATGACCCTCACCCAGGTGTCCACCTGGTTCGCCAACGCGCGCCGGCGCCTCAAGAAGGAGAACAAGATGACGTGGGCGCCCAAGAGCAAAGGCGGGGAGGAGAGGAAGGCAGAGGGTGGAGTGGAAGAATCCCTGGGCTGCCTAAACGGTGATACCAAAGGTACCGAACACGTTCAGCACCCCACCTTGCTGCGGGGTAGCTTTTATGGAAGGCACTCCTTGCTTACCCTTGCACGAGCATCCCCTGCATGCCTCAGGGCCTTTGCCTGCTGGGCAGCCTCCGCCTGACTTCCCCACGGAACCACTTTCTTCACTTTAACGTGTCGCCTCTGAGAAGCCCTCCCTGGCCACCTACGCCTATGCAGCTTTCCAGTTATTCTACTATCAGCCCCTTTCATTTCCTTCGCCATGCTTATCACTATGGCCCCTTCAAGAATTCCAGCTCCTCTAGAAGATCTCTCCCTAAATGAATGCCTCAGTGAGGTCTGGCAGATCGTTAGCGCTTCATAAATATTTGCTGAATTAAGTCATACACACCAGCCACCTGTGGGTGTGGGAATTGGGTAGAAATTGTCCCCTTGCTTTCACGTGGTTGAGAAACTGAGATCCAGGTCTTAGGACAGCAGCACAAAGTGTGGGTTTCCTTGGCCTGGGGGTGCACAGAGAGGAGGAGACTTCCAAGGGGTGGGGTCCAGGCCGGGGTGGGAATCCTTTCCCTGGGGCAGGCCCCCAGCCCCAGGGCAAGGGTGAGGTGGCGCGGTCAGCCTCGTGACTGACTCCCACAGCGCCCTGAGTGCAGTGCACATCTTGCTAAAAGCTTCTCAGGGGGGGGCGCTCCGTGGATTCCCCTTGGGGCCTGGGGCTTTTCTCACTCTCCCCTGATTTCCTGCAGACATTGCTGCCAGCGGAGAAGCGGGGGTGCTCGGGCTGAGTGACCTGGAAGACCTGGAGGAAGACGAGGAGGAGGCAGAGGAGGAAGACCCAGAGGAGGCAGTGGCCACAGCTGCGGACAGGCTGGCTGAGTTCCCCAAGAACACGCTGTCGCGGCCAGCTCGAGTGGGCCGGCTGGAGCCCAGGGAGTGCGGCCTGGCGGCTCCCCGCTCCTCATTCAATGAGCCCCCGGGGTCCAGAGAAGCTGACTTCCTCCGGGGGGAGCCAGAGGGCCCCGCATTGACCATGCATTACCCATGCAGCCAGAAACCACGCATCTGGTCTCTGGCGCACACTGCGGCGGCAGCCAGCACACTGGAGGGTGCACCTCTAACCCCTCCCAGGCCACAAAGTCCTGAGTGCCATCTGATTCCTGGACAGCCGGCAGGCTCAGGAGGGCGACCCGTGGCCCCCAGAAACTCCGCCTGTGAGGAGTCTTCCCGCGTAGCCAAAGCCTCCGGAAAGCCCGCATTTGCGCTGCAGGGGCTGCCCCTGAGCTTCGCTCCGAGCCTGCGGCGGAGGGAGCCAGCAGTGCAGTGCCAGTACCCATCTGGAGCAGAAGGTAGTGGGCCCCCAAAGGTGCTGGGAGCGTCCCAAAGACACCTGCCCATACGCTGCCCAGCCACTGCATCCTCTCTCTGACTTGGGCATGCCCAGGTTTGACCGACCACGCACGAGACTGTCCCACAGCAGTCTTTGAAATGGAAGCTTAGAGATAATATTTCTAGTTTCCCCTCATTTTAAAGCCAAACAACAGTAATAAGCTCAGAGTGAGACAGTGCATTACTAGGGTCACTTAGAAAGTCATTGAAGAGATGAGCAGCCTACACCTCTGCCAAGTGCACCAGGTAGGCACCATCATGACCCCCTGGCACAGATGTCTTTGTCCCCTGCCTGCCCTTCAGAGGAAGGCAGCTGGCCTCTGCTGTGCTCGTATCAAGAGTTTGCTGGGGCTGGGCAGGGACCTGTGCTTTCTGAGAAGCGTGAAGGGCAGAGCCAGACACATACAATTGATTGAAGGCCAGTGCTTAAGAGAGCTTGCAGTCCTCTCTGCAGCCCACTTTCGCTCCTGAGGAGGGTAGCCCAGGGTTGGTGCTGTCCCTGGAGAGCACTCACAGCTAAGATCTCCCCCCTAAGCAGGGTGTGACTGCCAATCAGGGTGTCCCCCAGGCTGGTTCTCTGGCCATGACTGGTGGAAGGACATTTCACCCCACAAAAGGACATTCCCCAAGAAATTGGCAGCCTCCAGCAATTACTGTCAGATTCTGCTCTTTGTAGCAATTTCTCTCAGGATTAGTGGCTGGTTTAGAAAATTGGGTTACACTGTTATTTGAATTTACACTAAAAGGGGTCCAAATGTTACCTCTGGCAAGCAAATTGCTTCTAGACCTTTGATTCCCTTCGGATGAGACGCCAGTGACCTCCGATTTCCTAGGAATCGCCACCAAGCGGCCTTTGGGTTTTAATCAACCTTTCCTCTCTCAGCAGGTTAGCGCAATGGTGCGATTTGTGGAAGCATCTCGGAAATAAGCCCTACTTTTCCAACTCACCTTCACTCTTAAGAAGCTGGGAGACCTCACCAGGAACTAGGGGCTCTCACCCCGCTTCGGAGATGGACAGACACCCAGACACCCTCCTGCAGGCTCTCCTTGCACGCAGAGTGGCTGGCAGAGGGGGACGTCCTATCAGATCCCGGAGAAAGTGGCCGGGCACCTTGGGGAAGGCCGGGGAGCCCGCGCCCCCTCCTCTGGATTCAGGGTCTGAAGCTGCTCCCTCGCCTGGTCCCCTCGGCCCCCTCACTTTGTAACTCCCACGAGGACCTGGCCCCTAAGGATCGCCTTCGTCTCCTCCCCCCGTCCCACCCCTTGCCTCCTTAAAAATCATCAAGCGGAGCCTGAGCTGTGCGGCCTGTCTGTGGCAGGGGCCTTTGGAGAGGTC